GCCGTATCACTTTACGTACTACCAACTTTATATAGTATACATATGAAATTTATAATTCAAATAAATTTATTTACGTTTCTTCCATTTAATTGTTACTTTCATTAATCGTTAAAAAAAACAGATATATCTAATTAAACGTTCAATAAATTACACGATGAGCACAATATGGGCATGACAGAATAGACACTAAAGTGATCCACTAGTGGTCATTTTTTTCTTTAAAGGGGAACGGTTTTCCACTATTACTAATTTGTTTATGAGACGAAATAAGATCTTTCTTTAACGCAAAATAATCTATCAGCATGTGATATATAACAGTGTTTATAACTAATCGAATATAAATGTTTCTAATACTACGTAGTTTAAGTTTGTGAGGATTTGTAACTAGAGACTTATGAATTGGCGCGCAGCGTCTTATTCTGCGTGTTTTCGATGTTATATCGTGCAAATGGCGGCTTTCGCGATGTTTTGTTCGATGTTTCTTACAAATTAAGTGTTCATACCATTCGTTGTGCATAATTGACAAAGAGGTAGCATTTGTCGTTTGACTTTATAATTCAGAAAACTTGTCGTCGACATGGTGAAGCTTCATAAGAAATTTTTCGCTGGCGATAAGGTGTTTGCGAAAGTTCGAGGTTATCCACCGTGGCCAGCTAAAGTAAGAGCAATTGAGAATATTATTTTTTTGTTAGTTAGACAGGATAGGTAACAGTTAACCTTTCAAGTGTTAATGATGATTTTCGGATTAGATGTACAGTGGAACATATATTTCTTCTTAAGTAGCATCGTTCCTACATAGCATGATGTCGGTGTTAATTTATTCTAAGATGGTGTTTACACAAAATAAATATTGACGCTTATATTTTATGATACGAGTAATGCCTTCTACATTAAACTAAATTACGTCCTTATGGAAATAGTTGTGTGTATGTGGGGAACGATTAAATTAATTAGATCCAGTCTTATTTAAGTTTATAACATATAAATACATGGATGCTCTAAAAATACTATGAAACATTTTTGTGATAGAAAATTGTGTTACAGTGTACAATTTATAAATATGTTTCTAGGTGGAAAAAGTTATTGATCCTAATTCAAAAAATTCAAAGTATAGTGTTTACTTTTATGGTACAGGAGAAACGTAAGTATTCGTTCATTCAGTCCTTCGTGAGGAACGTGGAACAGACATAGGGCAACCAAACTTTTGTTTTGTTCTAGTGCTGTATGTAAGGTGGAAGAGTTGTATACGTACATCGAAAATAAAGCAAAATTTGCGAAACCTATTAGGAGGAAATTTTTTCATGAAGGGTTATTACAATTAGAGCAAGAGCTTAAAAATGACAGAAGCAAATCGGGACTTAGTGACCTTAAAGGTAAAAATAATATTTTTCTAATTTATTAAGATATGACAAAAATACTTATTTATTTTTTGTATATAAACAAAGAGCCTGCTCTTGGGGAAGATGCTGGAAAGGACAGGGAAAATGCAATGGATTTACCAACAGTCAGTGCAATGGACAGTGATATGGAATCAGGATCGTTGGTTATTGACGAAGAAGAGAAAAAGAAATCCATGAAAAGGAAAACCATGCTGAGTGCTACTAATCCTGTAATAAGCTTGCATCTGTATACTCTTTCTTACATCTATAAGCATTTAGATATAAATACAGATATAAATATATAAGATTTAGTTTGGAGTCCTAGCTCATCACGGTCAACATTGTTTAAGACAACAACTGTTGAACCGAGCACTCCAATAGAAATTTAGGAATTGCCGACAAACATTCGTTGAGGTTGAATAGTTTGTGCGATTATTCCTTACAGTTATATAATGCTTTCAGTACAAAAATGATTTGCTATGTTTTGGTATATCAAATTAAAAAATGTTAATTCATTTAGGACACACCCGAGATAAAAAAGAGACGTGGGAAAGCAAAATCCTTATCAGCATCTACAAGTGATGCAACAAGGCAAGATTCTGCTTTGGATTCACAAGGGGAAGAATCACCTAAAGAAGTTGTAAGTCGTAGTGGTAGGAAGATTAAACCCAAACGGTTTGCTGATTTTTCAAGTTCAGAAGAAACAGATGCTACGGAAAAGAGCGGTACATATTACCTTATGAATTGAATTTCTTATTGGAACTTTTTCCAGTAAATATTCGGTGTATTTCAGAACATGGAAGGGGCCGTACTAAAGTCAAAATTGAAGATTCGAACGATCAGCAAACGTCACCTGGTGTAATGCATAAGAAAAGGGCTACTTTAGAAAGTAAGTACTGGAAAATAACCTGTATATTTTAAATAAACTTATACGGAGTTAAATGTGGTGTACTTCGCAGAAAAGAATAATGCTGGCGAAGCACAAATATTGGAAGGTACTGTAGTGTCCAACACTACATCCAGTGACACACCAGGACGATTTCTGCTGGCATTAACATTCGCTGGTGAATATGTAGGCATTAAGTTAGACATGGATAAACCAAAGTCTTTTGAAAGTGAAAAAGCTCGTACACAGTGGGAATGGTCCACCGCTAGAAATGCTATGAAATTGAAAGCACAGTTAGAGAGTGGCGAAATTTTGCCGGAGCAAGTGAAAGATTGTTTAGATTTTAACGTACACGTTCCAGATGAAGAAAAGCGGCTGGTAGCGAAGGATGGAGCACTCCATCGAAAAACTAATAAGTTGAGGTAGTAGCAAGAAATTAGATAGTTAAAAATGAAAAATTTTTGATCCTGAATATCTATTATAGATGGCTGCGTATAGAGGCGCAACTTCTACAGTTGGATGCTCAAATAAAATCTAATCTCGGATTAGATCGAGCAAATCCAGATAAGTGTTTACAAGCGATGGATGATATGTTATCGCTTCCAATCGATCCTCTAATGTTGAAAAAACATCCGCATATTGTGGAAACGGTTAAAAGAGTATGATAAAATCAGATTCTGTTACTATTAGATTTAGTTGGTTAATAATAAAATTTATTTTAAATTGTGACCATATTTTAGTTGCGGCGGTACATTGGCAATTTAGGTGATTGGACATTAAATGAAGAAGAAGAGGTAGTTTATTATTTTTTAGAATTCATATTAACTTATTTTTTCATGTGACATTTGGTATTGTGTTTGTAGGCTACGTTCAAACAAAAGGCAGAGCAAATCAGACAAAAGGCTGAACACATATATAATAAATTTAAGGTAATTATGGTTAAGGGTCTGCGCATCTAACGTGCGCACTGTTTCCATTAAACTGGGCCAGTATATCATGTTTTCCGTTTCTGTGAACAATGTGCAGGCCATGTTTACTATCCCCGAGGGTCAATCATTTTGGCAATCGTTTTCGGATCAAGTGGTCCATTTTAAAGAGCTGACGAAGGACATGCCTGAAGAAAAAGTATTTTCTTTAATGTCCGATCCCGCTTGTTCAGGTGAATATAAAATGAATCATTTAGCCAAGAATACTCAGAATTCTGAGAATGTAGAAATAGAAGTTACAGATGCAGCCATATCAGAGGACTCACCTGCAGACGAAAGTGGTAGTCAACCAGATACAGATGCGCCAGTCGAAGCAAAATTAGAAGTGCCTACCAGGAGCGAGACTCCAAAAGATTCAGAGGCCAAGTAACATAGTGATCTTTTGTATCTGACGATGTGAAAAATCATGCTTACTTTCTTTTGTACTAATGTAGTACTATATGACACGAGTGTCTTAAAGCTGGAAAAAAAAATGAGTTCGGTTTTTAACACTTGGATATCACCTTTGGATAAATTTTGACACTATACTTTATTTAATGGATCTTCTAGTAAATTTTCTCTTATTCATAACACATCCCCCTTGCAATATCTGTAACTGTGAAGCCCCGTGACACTAATGAACAGCTTTCACTATTTCAATAATGTTACGAACATTGGTTAATCATAATGCACGTAGTATATATAGAATAGATATCATAATTATTTCTACTATTAAACAACACAGTTTCTTTATAATTGCAATTCCTTTTGAATTTTGGGACAACACCAAAAAAGAAAAGTGGAAAAAAAAATGGGATAACATGTATTTACAATGACAATATAGGTATCGTTGTCTAATGTCTCGAAAAGCTTATTTACTTAAATAGAATAGACATTAATGTATATATTGAACACAAAATTGAAAATTACAATAATTATCTATACTCAATGATTCAAGATGCGAGGTGGGCACAAATGTCAACATAATTCGGTTACTTTAAAAGTGGAGGTTTAATATCACGCGTTGAAGTTTATGTTCCGTTCTTTCGGTTGTAAGCGT